AGTGGCAGTATGTAACTGTACAAATCACAGAACTAGTAATTGTGATAAAAACCAAAATACGAACACTACACGCTGATGACGGTCATGAAAATGACAATAAGAATAGCAGTAACAAGCCGTAGAAGTAGTAGGTACAGTAGCACAAGTAGCTTTGGTCGTCATCCCTTATCGCCTTGCGCTATGAAGATTTCCAAGTCGGAGAGTGCTAGCCGGCTGCGAAAGCCGTCCGGGCGCCAGCAACTGCAGGAACAGCTGCCAACATTTGTTGCTAGGGCTGAGGGGTAGCGAGGGTTGACTGGAGGGGCGTGGAGGCCTCTAGGCCTCAGAGGCGGTCTGAGCGAACCTTCCACCCCTGTGAGAAGATCTCAACAAATGCCCACTTGCGCTGAATGAGCTTTCATGGTGTCAGTTCGCGGGTATTCACGGGCATCCCAAGAAGGCACCGTTCACAACAGCAGCGACAAATTGAAAAGATGGCGCCCGTACTACCACCTGCACTGAGCTCAGGTCGCAAATCAGGCAAAACTAAACCCGCTGCAGGCTCCTCGCAGCCTGAACGCCAAACTCCAAAGGATTGACTAAGAAAAACATCCGAGCTCAGCATGGACCTACGGCCTGCTTGAGGGGTGCGGAGCCGTCTGAGCCACGGTGCCAGAGATTCGGGCATCAGAGTCTACGATTCCACGATTCCAGAACTTGGAGGCATTTTCGACGTATCACGGAATCAAGATCTAGTCATGCTTGGTTGCGGTTCAAGACGAACCTAGGTGTGATGGGACCGGCTGACTGTCCTGACAAACTGGTTGAGCGAGGCCTACGCCTTCACCAATCCAAGACCGGACCCTTCTCTAAAACGCTAGATCTATACCTATCAGATGTACATATATACCTACCACATGCACAGATATACATACACATCTACATATACATATTCACATACATATACGTACACACATACATATACATATACATATACAGCCATGTAACGTACATATACATGTACACATGAATACATGAATACATGAATACATTAATACATACATACATACATACATACATACATACATACATACATACATACATACATATATTATAGTATGTTGATTGATTGGTTGGTTTATATTTGTCTGTTTTTTTAACTACTTAGGAAGCCCTCGCTTCGACCATGCCCAGGCCGCGCTCCTGCACCGCTCCTTGATCACAGCCGTACCACCAAGCTTGCAAGATGTCCCGGCACTTCCATATTTATGCGGAGAGGGATCGAAATATGTTGGTCTTGCAGGCATTCTGGTTGTGGAGCATAACTGTTTTCAGTGTACAGTTGCCTTGCCTGCCCTGCTTCGTCTATTTCGTCTACTTGCAATGTCTGTGGGAGGCCAGTTGTGCCGATTTTTATAGTAAGATGCTCGTCTGGACATCTTGCAATCGGCACACTGGATCCACGGGAAACAAGCGAGGGGAGCGAGGCTGCGCCCATCATGAAGTCTCACCAATAAACCGGAAGAGATGGCCACCCCAGGGTGTGAGGCCTCTGGCCTGGAGGTTCGGGCTTCTGGTGGACTACAGTTTAGGGGGCGGCGCCGCCGATCCTGCCGATCCCATGCTCCAGCACGACAGACGGGGCTTCTTCCGAGCCTAGGATGTGTGACCTAGGTGTCGTCTCAGGTCTTGCAGACTTTATTTAGAGTAGCTTTCTCTAAGATGGAGCAGGGCCGCAGCCGAGACGTTCGAAGCCCCGCTGTCATTCCCAAAGCCTCCGGCCCAGCGGGAGACCTTTGAGTCGGCGCCAAGCTTCCCTGATCCCAAAGTCCTCTACGATTCAGCAAAGGCGGGTAGCTTGTCGCCGGATCTCCCTGAAACAGAGGTTGAGAGAGGCCCGCTGAAGACATTCTGATAGGTCATGGCGTGTTTCAGAGCTACCAGTATCAGAAAACCACTCAAGAAAGCGGGCGGGCCCACTCTAGACCCCCAGCTTCAAAAACGGCCGCTGAAACAGGTCCCGGTTGGTGTTGCGTAGATAGTCATGAGTAGATTTAAAGTCACACCCAGTCGCCGCAAACCTACAAGCAGAACAACACCGAGACGTACCGTTAGTCCTTGCACGGCGCTCCTAGCTAAAGTAGGACAGGGGTAGAACCGATGATGCATCTCATATCTATACACCTATGCAATATACTATGCCGCCTATGCCATATCTCTCTGTTTGTCGATCTCCGAACCTACCTAATACCTACCGACCGACTACCTACAGACCTACCGACCTACTACCAACCTAAATCAAACGTAGATATGCAGCTGTCATGGTTGCTCTCTGTCATGTGTTTGTGTGTTTGTGTGTTGGCTTGCTTGCTTGCTTGCTTAATTGTTGGTTCGCTTGCCAACGCTCTGCAAGCCAGTAAAGGTTTCACTTTCATGTCAACCCTGAACATTGAAAGTTGGTTCGCTTGAAGCTTCGGACGGCCTGCAGCTTTCAGCCTTGTGTAGAGTTTCACGATGATTGGGGCACGTTCAGAGCAGACATCTGGACCAAGCGTCAACGGCGATGTGTGACTGTCTTTGCTTGCTTGATTGCTTGCTTGCTCGTTCGCTTGCTTGCTTGTTTGCGTGTTTGCTTGTTTTTCTGTCCATGTCTCTGCGTCTCTGTGTTTGCTTGCTTGCTTGCTTGCTTGCACGCCGTTTGGGGAGTGAGGTTCCCCTTGCGTCTCTGTGTCTCTGTCTCTCTGTCCCTCTGTCTCTCTCCGTCTCTTTTACTCTCCGTTTGTTCGTGTGTTTATCTGTGTGTTTGTCTGTCTGTCGGTCTCTCGGTCTGTTGGTCTGTGTCTGTCTGCTTGGTTGTGTTTGCGGCGGTGCTTGCTCGCTCACTCGCTCGCTTGCTTGCTTGTTGGTCTGTTTATGTATAACGAAGAGGAATGCGTGGACCGATGGTATATGGTTTCGTTTTCTCTGTCTGCATATATCAATGTCCAGGTATATTGTGCACGTGCATATACATACGTATGTGTGCGTGTGTGTATATATATATATACATATATATATACATATATATATATGTATATATATATATATGCGTGCGTGTGTACATATATATATATATATATACATATATATATATGCGTACATGCATACATACATACATACATACATACATACATACCATCACATACCATTACACACCATTACATACCATTACATACCGTTACATTCCATTACATTCCCTTACGTTCCATTGCATTCCATTGCATTCCATTACATTCCATTACATTCCATTACATTCCATGACATTCCATCACGTTCCATGACATTCCATTCATTCATTCATTCATTCATTCATTCATTCATTCATACATACATACATACATACACACACACATGCGGACAAACATACATGTGTACGCATATTAAATATACCCTCATGTGCACGGATAAGTTTAAATGTGTATGCGCATGTGCATGTATACATATATACACATACTACGGGTGTCACAGTCTGAACTATGTTGCGTGTTGCCCCATCATCTTCTGAACATCTATGTCTACCTACCTACGTATCTATCGACGTATGTGTTCGTACGTACGTGCATACATACATACACACATACGTACATACATACATACATACATACCTACATACATACATACATACATACATACATACATACATACACATGTACGTACATGCAGATTGTACAGAAGGCCGCCATGCGGCCTGCATCTCGTAGAACTAGAAAAAAGTGTGCATAAATGCATATATATATATAGATATACACATACACACACACACACGCACACTTGATATGACATATACATACACACACACACACACGCACACTTGATATGAGATATATGATACATTATAGTAGTACATATGTATATGTACATATGTAAAGCATCCCACTCGTCATTTGCATGTGTCTAGATACCAAGAATATGAGCTCTGCAAGAGTGAGGCAACGCTGGCCGCTGGCCGAGAGGTGCCCCCAACAGCAACCGAAACTGTTCCTGCGGCGCTCTTGAAGGTGCGGCATTCCAGTCCGTGGGCCCAAGAACACACAGGAAGATCAGGATTGAAGTGAGTGGAGTAGATGTTTGACCTAATCTGCTCTCGAGACTCAAGCTCCAAGAACGTGACAAACTTGCGCCTTGGCTTTACAGGATTTAAAGTTATACTCCCGAAGTTCCCCGAACATTTTTCATCTCGAAAATGCCTTAGATACATGAACACAGTTGAACACAGTCGCGGTAGAACATGACTAGGCTGCAGCTGCCGATATCCATGCGGTAGGCTGGCTTGCAACCCAGAATACTGCTACTCACCCTAAGCTGCAGGAGGATCCGTGGTTCTTCGGGCGAAAGCCTACTGCACATGTCGGAGAGCAGCAGGAAACCCGTTCTTCGCATTCTGCCTGCACCTGCGCTGCGGTGTTGATGGGGCTCCGGTTCAAGTCGTCGGGGTACCAGGAATTCGGTGGGAAGCTGCTGGTTCCCCTAAGGGCTCAAGAGTCCTACAAACAAGGCGAACGGCTTGCAGAGAAAATCGACATCCAAAAAGGGCCCGGAACCCATACGGCTAACCACAACCCCAGCTGGGGTGCACCGCAGCACTCGACCACGGAATGGCTCCTGACCAGGGACTTCAAGAATGGGATGCTGGCACATAAGCCATCTTCCGGATGTGCTGGCAAGGTGAGACATATTGCCGAGTCGAATGGAAACTCCGGATTCACCGATGAAAATCTCTTCCACTTCCCACCGAAGCTCCTCCCCCGCTGGGAAGAGCTGACCGAAAGGTAAGAAGGCGTCCTGCGTCACAAAGGCTTGGTGGCACAGAGCTGCCGACTGAGGAGACTAACGTCGCAAGACCCAGTCTGTGGAGGCTACACTTTCAGAATAGACAGAGGGCAGCAGCATGTTGCACGGGCATGACGCTTCTCAATGCTTATAAGGCCTACGGCTTAGGGCCGCAACTCCACCTCATCCGACTGACATCGATGCTGCATGACTTACAGCGCGCACTCCAGCCGTGAACTCCAGCCTTGCGCTCCAAAGATTCCCCAAGCGTGCACATGTTCGCTGATGCTTTCCAACCCCCGCAAGTTTTGCGTAGAACTCAAATGCGGAGCCCAGTGAAAGCCCCGCACCACTGGATCCGATCGCATCAGCAGCTCGGCATAGAAAAAGTTATGCCGGTGCCACACCCTGCAATGTTGGGATCAGTCGAAGTGTTTCAGTTTGACGGAACTGCAGCACTACAACTCCAAAATCAACATCTCGCAGCCGCCATCATGTAAGGTCCTTGAAATGCCGCGCTCAGCCCATTGTGCTCAACAGAGCTCCCCACCAGTTACTAACTGACAGACGCCGCACAAAATCTCAGACAGGACTACCCAAAGGCACTCTCCGTCCCAGTTCGTTGGCCTCATCTTCTCGATAGGAAATGGCCCTTGAATGTTTCCGGACGGATCGATATACCTGTCAGTTGCAGCAGTCACCAAGACCCTCCTTGACAACGACCGAGTGTCTTATCTCAACTGCTCAGCTCTAAGGTGCAGACTGCCATCCGTTGTCCGGACATGGGGCCATTTTGACGTCCTTTTTCCCTCCGCCACCTGGATAACCTGCGCGGGGGAACCGCACACAGAAGCAGCAACCTATAGTCGGCGCAAATCATCACCCGTGCTCAGCGTTTTTGCGGCAGCATTCGCTCACGCCTGTATGCCAATGTGAAACTCATCACGCATCTTATGGCCTGAACCTAAGAACTGTTTACGGCAAATTACAAAGGCTTTTCGAAACCGCCGAGTGTGGGCACTAAATCACCGGAGTCAACTGTGCATCATGTTGAACAAGTCGAAGCATTGATTTTTGGAACTCCTCACAGAACCCACCGGAATTCTCAACTATGAATATCAGCAGTCGCTCTCGTCCGTGATGGCCATCTGCCCAAACTGGGCAAGCTGCACCTTGGAATAATTTCGTGCTGAAATTCAACACTGTTGAGATTCATGGTAGCGTATAATCCTCACCTCATCCTCTGCAAACTCTACTCATGGCGAACGGAGCTGTGCCCGACGACTAGTCGGACACGCAGGACAAAGGTATTGCGACACCGGTCCAAGATCCCAGCTAACAGTGTGGATGTGACAAGCGCTGCTGGCTCGCAGCCACCACCAAGAACAGGCCAAACGCAAACCGAGCTGCATAGCCGAAGTTCCAGAGGTTGGGCAGCCCGAAATGGGGGTACTGCGGCCAAAGCTCCGTACCTTGCGAGACCATGCACTGGGGTCGAGACACGCGTGTGCGGCTTAAGTTTGCCAGGGCAGTGGAGCTTCAGTTTCCGTGTCCCTTAAACTCAGATGTCGTCACCTGGGTCAATACTGCCCGCTGTGTTGGTACACATGCTTAACATGTCAGCATTTGCTGAAGCTTCCAGAACGCGTAGGATCCCGATAGCAGTCCCCCTCACCCTAATCAGATGTAGTATCAGCATAAATGTCCGTGTATATATACATATATATATATATGTTTGTATATGTATGTATATATATATAGATATATATAGATGTGTGTGTGTGTGCATGCATGTATGTATGTATGTGTATATGTAAATATATGTATATGTACATGTATATGTATATGTATATGTATATGCACATATATATATATATGTACACATGCATGTTCTGTAAGTGCGTATGTTTGCGTACACACACACACACATACACTCTCACACACACACACACTCACAATAATCCTGCCAGAGTCACCGTCCTCAGCCTTCCACCGGAAAGGTTCGTGCCTCTGGTGGCCTCATTATTCGGCAAGCATCCAGGCAAAGGCTGGAACTAAGGCCTCCTGGGCGTTCGGCTTGGGCCGCTGATGGCCTGGGCCTGGAGCTTCTTCAGCAAGCAGCGGTTCACCACCTGCTCCGTTTTCGGGAGGAAAGTCATGCAGACTTGAACTGCCTGCTTCAGCGGCGCTTCACTTTGACTCGGGTGGTCGGTGCCAAGTGCACACAGGTTCACCCAGCTCTGCTGGAACTTGGAGATTGTTGGGCCTGCAATTGAAGCCTGGGCAGCTCGGAAGGAAGGCCAAAGCAGCGGCAGCTGCAAATTATCTAGACACTAAATAAATATAGGCCCAAAATCGGCACGAGGCATCAGCGGGACCCTCTACACGACGATCTGCGTCTCAGCACGACCAAGCGCAGCCTTCGCACAGCGCTCGTGGACAAGGTCCACAAGCTGTGTTGTCGACTTTCCGAGGACTCCTTGGCTTTCACAAAGATTCAAGAGCACCCTGGCAAACTTCATGTTGAAGCCGTTCCATCCCCCAGCAGAGTTGTGGTACTCCGACGCCGGGCATTTCTCATGCACGGCATGTGCCAGCTCATGGTGGCAGTCCATCTGGGTCATCTCCATGCGCTCCTTGAGAATCTTCTTCTGGCATTGGATCAGGCGCTCTGGGTTCACGTCCGCGCAGGCCGCAGCAGCCATGCCGGCAAAGAGGGCCTCATCGGCCTCCTGGTCTTT